TCAGCAGAGAAAGCAGCTTTGCAACTGTTGTATATTTCTTTAATATGATTGATTTATACATTTAGATTCAGTGAGAAACGAAAGACTAATCATATTAAAGAAATGTACAACAGTTACAAAGCTACTTTCTTTGCTGAACGCAGTCAAAGTCGCGCGTTGATTGGTCCGTCATGTTTCAGAATTCTCGTCCTATATTTGGATATCTACATTCGTGTTATTTTTAAATTTAACAATATAATTAAAATTAAATATTTTAAAAAATATTAACAAATAAATTTTTTTCACATCACGTGTTGAAATAATGCTCACAAGAAGAATTGTTCAGTTTAATATCTTTTACGAAATTATTTTGAAAATTTAAAGATTTGATTGTGTACCTTGAAACGAGGTTAAAATTACAAAAGTAAACAAGTTCACTAGAATATTTATAATTTTATTAGTACTTAATAAATTTACCTAATAAATTTATTATCAGTTATATAATTTTTACATGTTTCAAGATACGCTGGTATGTAAAGAAAAAAAAATTTTTTTACACTTTTAACATTTATTTTACAAATTATTGTGCATCGTCATCAATTTATTCAAGACGATCTTAAATATAAGATATTATTTATTATTAGCATAAAATATAAAAGCATATAAATATAAATTAAAAAAATATTTATTAAGATATTACTTAAAATGATTTTAAAATAAGAACCGCGACTGTGAATACCGGTCGTAATTTTGATTGTCTTCTTTCTCTAATCAACTCTAATTGTAAGGGTGCTTTTCATGACAGTCGAAATTTCAGAAAACGGAATCTCGAAAAAGTGATATGACTAATGAAAATTATTTAAATTTTGCGCGTTCGTGTAATGCGCTAATTTGATTGATCCTATTATTTTTCTGAAATTTTATTTTTTGAAATTATGACTGTCATGGGACAACATCCTGTCGTTGCTTAAAATTTTTACACTTAAAATAAAATAAATATATATTCCAGAATTGAAAAGAAAGAAAGCGAAGATACGTGTAAAAAGTACAAGCAATGGGTGCATCCAGAAGCACGACAGCTCACTGAGCGCTCAGTGAGCTCTTGTCCTGTTTGGTCTATATTTTTAGATCTAATAGAATATGCCAATCAGATACAAGAACTCATTGAGCGCTCAGTGAACGATTGTAGTACTGGATGCATCCCGAGGCGCAGAGCGCTCAGTGAGCTCTTGCATCTGATTGGCATATTCCATTAGAGCTAAAAATATAGACCAAACAGATACAAGACTCACTGAGCGCTCAATGAGCTGTCGTGCTTCTGGATGCACCCACTGAATGCACCTAATATGAACAGACCTAATATTTCGAATATTTCGCAGGATTTCATGTCGATCATGTATCGTGAGTGCCACAGAAAACACTGCGCGATCATCGTATTTTTGTGATTAATTATGTGTTATAATTAATTGTGTTTTCGAAAGTGTCAAGTTATACGAAGAATGAAAGAAACTGCGAGGAAAAGTTGGAGGAAAAGAAAGAGGAGGAGGCACACATGGAAGGCATAGAACGACAACGAAACGGTGAATAATTCATTACTTTTTAATTTTTACGTATGTATGCACATATGCTGTTATTTGTAAAATAAACTATTTATTCTTGCTTATTTGGATAATTTAAAAACGAAAATTAGAAGATTCTTATTTATGAAACGTTAGAAACATTTATATATGCTTTTCGGAAATTATGTGTTTACTATTTCAATAACAATATCTTTCTTTTGAATAAAATAAAAAATAATAAAAATTAAGTTAAAAAATTTAGAGCGAGTAAATAATTATTTTTAAAAACATTTTGACGTGAGAGATTAATTTGAATTTTACATTTGTAAATTAATACGTAATTAAGATAATTATGACATATTGTACATTGTGTAGCTTCAAGCTTTATTAATTATTAATTTAATTTTCTTTATTAATTATTGTTTTAATTATTAATTTAATCTATTAATTATTAATTTTAATTTAATTAAATTTTTAATTTGAGTTAATAAATTCGTAAATATTGCAAATGTAATATTTTATAAATCTATTTTCTCGAGAATGTCTTGAAGGTGTCTTGATGAAAATAAAAAAAATCACGAAAAATACTTTTTTAAATCTGTATATTAAGTATGAACAAATATGAACAACACTTACAACATAACATTATAGAATTACATTGTCAATTAAAGTTAAGTACAATTGGCGATACGTATGTAGGCTTCAATTAAGCCTCTCGATCAATTCTTTGGATGCTGTTGCTTACACGACTCAGAAGCATTAGGTTTAGGAAGAACATTCGATATTTCAGAGATAAGCTCTACGATTCGGGATTATATGTAGTAGCAATAAGATGCCACTTTATTAATGCATAGGATGTTTTAATTTCTTATGGTATCGTGTTAGCCGACGCATTCGAAGCTATAAAAATCTAAAAAAAATCTGTAACGATGATATTTCCCGCATTTCGAGGAAGAGGATAAACTCTCACATAGATTACCTCTTCAAACTCTCTCTTCTATTCAGATCTTTGAGATCCTTTGGTTTATTTTTTAAGCGGCCACTTCGCTCGCCGCACACTTGTCATACATTGCATCTAAAACTTGAATGAACTTCAAATGACGTTCTTCCGGAGCGACAGTAGAACCGCGGCTACCCCATAAGAACTTGATGTGAAATTCAGTACGAAAGGCGTCCGATAATAATTCATCATTCCTACAACCTTCTAGGACAATTTCCGCGTTTCTGCGAAAGAGCGGCAGACTATCGGCTAGCTTGCGAGCCGCCTCAAGATGCGACCAGACGATTGATAGACCGCAATCAGATGCCGAATTTTCCCATGGTGAAAGAATCGCTGCTGTGAGTCCAAAAGGTGCTACAGTACCTATAATAAATCTTGTTGAATGACGAAATGATATATATAATATTGAAAGAAAAAGAAAGAAAGTGAATTAACAATTAATAATAACGAAAAAGATACTAACAAAAATAGATATCTGTATTTAAAACAATTATGAGGTGAATGTGCAAACGAAGGAAGATATCTTCTGTTTATTCACTGATTACTTATTTTACAAATAATTTTAGTATATAATTATTTTTTATGCGATTACCTAAAACATCTTCAGGACCACGTTCGCCAAGTAGCGCGATCGGTAGCAAATGTGGCAACGTTGTGTTAGGCGCCTGCGGATTGGTACATTCGTTCATAGCCCGTAGAGTAGGTCTCAATTTCGCTTCGAAACTGAAAGCTTCGTCCGTATGTTTTTGTCGTAGCAAGTGCCATGTATTAGCCAGTCTCTGAATTTGCGGTAAGCATAGACCGAGCATTACGCCACAGAAGCCATAGAGATTGCCGAGCGCAGTTTTAGTATCGATTGCTACTTTGATCCATTTGCTGATAGTAGCTGCTCTTTCTACGATATTAACAATCGTCATTTAGAAGCAAGAAAAATTAAACGCTCTCTTTTTAATTAATAAAAAACTTATAACTTATTTTGTGTAAACTTAAAATATATTTTTTCTTTCTTATTGATTTTTATAAATATTCATCACAGTCAAAAATTAATTAGAATGGACTAATTAAAATTAAATAAAACAAAATTTCAAAACTCACCTATAGCTGTAGCGCCAGCCAACACGGTCACCGCTACCAATAGTTTCAGGCATTCAGATCTCTCAATTAGGTCCATTCTAGCTTGTCTACCGTGAGGAAGGGTCGCCAGTTCGATACCGCTTAATCCGCTTCTATTTCCTGGTCCCGGTTGAAGTGCCACTTCAAGATCGAGCCTCGTGAGATGAGAGGCGAGCACTCTTGGTGCTGAATCCAATAGCATTCCTGAGACTCCCCTCAGGGCTGTTGGATCCAGAGGTCTGTGTTCACCGGTTGGTAACAGCAATGTCGTAAAACCCTCGATATCGAGCATAGTGGTGATTTCTAGAGACGGTGCGGCTACCACCAACTGTTCTTCTGCCGATAGTTCGTATTCGCTGTTATTATTGCCATTGATACCGTCGTTACTAGTGTTATAATGACTACGTATCACCACGCCCTTGATTGGCACCGAAGAAGA